GTCAGCCAGTCTCTAGTTTATGGCAACCCCAGGCACAATGGGGCATCGAGAACTCAGCAGTTGTGATCCATAGACTCTTCATTGTTTTTAAGAATGCATCACCAAGCTTTTCTTCCTAGTTCACCTTAGGCAGAAAGCTCCACTGAGAGCCGCCCACTGAGGCACTGGTGGGGGCTGTGCATGAGGTGCAGAGGCTGGGAAACAAGCCCAGTTCTTTATGTGGAGGCAAGAATTCGGCCACTGCACCTCCAATGACTTCATCTACGTCTACATCTATGTCCGTGCCTATGTCAACACCTTCCCCTGGCCTCTCTCATCACCTGTATCTATTTATATGAAGAGAGAGGGGAGAGGGGGAAGAGAGAAGATGATAGCGTGGAGGAAGTGAGGTGTGAAAGTTATGTTTTATGTCAACTTAGATTAAGGTGACCAGACATCCCAATTTTTAACAATTATTTCCCACATCCCACGGCGTTTTAAACAAATCCCGATTTTTGGAAAGAATGCATGACAAGCTAGGGTAGACGGTTTTCGGCTGCCATGTGGGTATTTCACCAGGATATGAGTTTTATCAATGGTGTCCCGCTTTTGTCCCGCTTTACCAATGTTAAAATCTGGTCACCTTAACTTAGATGGACCAGGATTCTCCCACGATGTGATCTAACCTAAAATGGTCCAACTTCCTGATGGGGTCTCCTGTGAAGCAGCCAAGCAGTGGTGGAGAGGTCAGACCTCCTTAATTTGGCCACAGCCTTGACACGATTGACAGGTTTCACAGAGAGCGTGGCCCACTCTTCGTCTAAATTGACATTGTGTGGGAGCTAGCTGACAAGGACCGCTAGATGTGGCTCCCGCATCTGGTTCTTCGACCTCCTGTTATACCACCTGCCAGTCCCAGAAGTTATCATGAGACTGCCAAATGCGGATCCATTCAGCTTGGCATCCAACAGCTTGTGGTCTTCCTGCATTATCTTCCTGCTTCCTGTGAATCAGCTCCTGAAGCTAACAGGAGAAGCCTTCAACTTATAGATTCAACTTATAGCTTGAACCGGGTGAGAGAGTTAAAGTTTATTGTGTCAACCTGGCTGATAAACCCATGTGGGGTTAACTGAAGGACGGAGAGATAAACGGCTCGGTGAGCCTCACCTTTCTAGTTCTTGAGTTTCTTGCTTTCTGATTTTTCGACCAGAGTACAGCTCCCTTGGCCAGTTCCCTGCTTCAGTTGGCAAGGCTCACTTCCTGCAAGACATCCCTGAGGAGAAGGCACATGGACCTACCCCGATGCAGCCCTGGGTGCTGGAGCAGCCATGTGGAAACTCCTGCCAGCGCTGAGATGCATACACGCTCACTGATTCAGTTCCCTCCTGCAGTCGGCACCATTGCATCTATTTTGTGAGATGGAGGAGGACTTTGTGGATTGGTGTTGAACATATGGGCTAATGTTGGACTTGTGGGCTTGGGCAGGACTGGGTTGGGATGTTTTCTTGATGTACACTTACTCTTTATATAAAACTCTCTCTTATACATATGAGTTTCTGTGGATTTGTTTCTCTAACGTACCCAGACTAACACACCGGGTTTACCAGATTTGCCTACTTTTGCCACTGTGTGCACCATTTCTTGATATAAGTCCATTTCTGCAGACATACATAAGCAAGGGTTCCTGGGTTTGCTTCTCTAGAGAACCCCACCTAACACCCTAAGAAACCATGACACATGCTGAGGGTTGGGGAATCTTGAGAGATCTGGGAGTTCTTTGTGTGATTCTGGCATCTCTTCTGTAAAGTTGGCAATGGGAACAGTCATAAGAAACATGCTCATGAGGGCGGTGGTGAGGTGCATTGCAACAGTGCAGATGAAAGGAGACAATGGCAGGGTGAGAGGAAATCAGGAAGACCCGAAGGTGTTTTGGGGTGACCAAGAAAGGGTCTTGGCAGGAAGCAGATGTCACAGTGTCTGATAAAGCTGGAGAAGATGGCCCCACTTGCCTAGCTTACTCATCCTCAGAAGAGCCCTGTGGGGCAGGTACAGGTACACAAGGGAATTGGAGGCTCAGAATGTGATTTATCCAACCTGGCTTCACCGAGTGCTTGGTGAGCCCAACATGCAGCGTGGTTACCTATGTCTGCGAATTTAGAAAACAGTCCTGAAAGGAAAGGCGCTGACGTATGAAGGGTCTACGCAAGGACACAGTTGGGGTGTCTCCCTTTTCTTCTTTGTGCGTCTTAGCTGCGTCCAGTTTCCTGCAGCAGATTTGCATGAGGAAAAGGACAGTAACCCAGACTTTAAACGTGGAACTGGGTTTTCGTTCAGAGCAGAGCATATCTCAGAGGTGGATGTCAGTGGAGGGCGCCCTCTTGAAGGCCAGGATTCATGAACCTCTAGGGACATAAGAGGTTTGGGAGGATGGGGTTACCGTGGTGGGGGTGGTGATAAAAGGGAAATGATCTCAAGGAGTCCAGGTAGACAAGGAAGAGTTGGAAACCGATTGTGGTAGCAGTGGTACGGTTCTACTCGATGTGATTGAAATATGCAACGAGATGTTAGATGCATTAAATCTGAACTCATAAATAAAAATAAAGGATTATCTAAAAAGTTTTAAAAAAAGGAACTGTGGGATGTCGTGGAACATTTCTCATGATGATAGCGTGCCCGTTGTGTGCCCAACACTGTGCTTTGAAGCAGTCTATCGTCGCTGCTCTCTCAACCTAATGGACAAATGTCTCCTAAGACCATCAAGCCTTTCTCTCCATACTGCAGGCCGGGCTGAGCTTTATGATGCGCATCCCAACCCCCAAAGTATGTACTTGTTTAGTGGTGCTGTGGGCTCAGCATTGGGCTGACAACGGCAAGGTTGACAGTTTGAACCCACCGACTGCTCCATAGGAGAATGATGAGGTTGTTTGCCCCTCTAAAGATTTACAGTCTTGGAAGCCCTAGGTCGGGTCACCCTGGGTTGTTTTTGACTGGATGACAGTTTTGGGAGGTTTATGTGAGTCTATGCGTCCCAGTCAACTTGATGGCAGTAGATTTGGCTTCAGGTTTAGGTAAAGCGAGTGTAGTACGCTGTTCTCTTCCCTCCATCACACAGGCTTCTTTTTCTAAAGGTGACATGTGACTCCAGCATCCTATCCCTTTACACAACAGCTGGTCCTCAACTGAAGGGAAGAATGACCTAGGGAGAGCCCAACTCTAGTGTCCAGAAAAGCAATCAGCCCCATGGTGTCACTGTGTTATAAGGTGGGAGGTGCCTTCTGACCAATGGATTCCTTCTTCCCCTTCGGTGCATGAATTCCATCCCCGGCAGCCCCCAGTCCCCATAGCCCAGGAACGGGGGGCTTCTGTGTCTGTTCCTCTCATGAGAAGACACCGGCATCCATTGTCATTGTGGTCTGCTAAAGCTCGGGAGGCTCAGAGTTTGAAGGGAGTGGGCCCTTAGTCACCGTTGTTGGATTAAATTGACTTTTGCAAGTGAGAATGGAGAAATGGGTGGAGTCACTTGGGGTGATTCCTACCATGGAGTTCAGCTCAGACACCAAAAGCAAGGCTTTGAAACGATTTATTGGCCTGGGGCAGTGATAATAAGATACTAGTAATTAAAAACAAGGGTCTAATTCTCTGTTTTCTGTGAGTCTATGAATAAAGAGTAGCTCATGCCTAAAACGAAACCAAACCAAAAAACAAGGGCACAGTGGAGACTGTCTTAGCATCATACATTTGCATGGAGAGGAAAACAAAAGAAAACACAACAAAAGTAGCACACACAACAACACATCCAAAAACGTACAGTGGTTGTCTTTGGCTAGCAGGATTTTGAGTTATTTTGCTACTTGTTTGCTTATTTTCAAGCTTTCTTAGAAGTAGTTTTTGCTATTGTGAATAATGATTTTTAAAGAAATATATATCCGAGGGAGAGGGGACAGAGGCATGTGGAATAGCAGGTCCTTTGTGAGGGGTGAAGTGCTAGGGAATTTTTGTGTAAGTAAGCTACTTTGCCTTAAAGACCCACTCAACATCCAGACAGAGAGCCCCTCACACCACCCACCTGCAAGGGCAAATATCGTCCTTCTGCAAGTGTCCCTTCTTCTAAGCCCCCGGCCACTGCCAGGCTCCATCGCAGGCCCGTTATGTGCGGGAGGCTCCGCTACGAGAACTGAATTCTGATCCCCGAAATCAGAAAAACACCAGCGTTCCTCCACGTGCCTGTGACTGGATTCTCCCCTCGGGCATCACAATTTATTTCCATGCCATCTAACGCGCGAGGAAGGGAGATTCTGGGAAAAGATTCGGGAAGAGGAACAAAGGGAATCGGAAAGGGTGAGTCCCTTCCTTCAGCCGACGGAGAAGGCTGCTTCAAGAGCACACTGCAGTGCGTCCTTGGTTTGTGTTCAGCTCCATGCGCACGTTGCTTGATTTTAGTGACTATAGAGTAACTCTCTAACGCCTTTCTTAGTTGGAACTCCCAACAACGGTTCCCCAATCTTACTTCCCATTAGATTCCAGATCCATCACAACGTCACTGTCCCCTGTGTTCTCCTGGGCTTCCAGGAGCCCAGACTCTGCAGCGAGGAGCCCTGCTGGTGCTGTCAGGTGAGCATGGAACTGCTAACTGCAAGGTCAGCGATGGAACCCACCAGCCGCTCTGAGAGGGATGAGGCTCTCGGTTCCCGTAAAGATGTAAAACCTTGGAAGCCCTATCGAAGGTCCTCTGTAAGGTGGAATCAACTTGATGGCACTGGGTTGAACCCTACTGTGGGACAGACGTTTCTGGGTTTGGATGGGAGGGGCTACTGCTAGCTACAGATCGGTTTTGGAGCTCGGAGGGGGTCAACGGCGGAAATCACTATCTTCAAGTTCACTGGGGCGGCACTGAGGAGGTGCTGCAGAAGTTTAGTTTGCCAACATCAGTGTGCACTGGTCTGAAATCCCTGCTTGGACTCCTCCCACCCCCACCCCCACCTGGACTCTCGCTCTTGGTCTCAGGCTTCTGGCTGATCCCATCTCGCTTATTTCTCTCCCTCCCGCTAGAGATAAGTTCATAGGAAAGCCTCAGCGAAGTCCTAGAGGCGATGTCATCTAGACAAACTAGTGTCAAGGGTTAGACACTGACGGGGCGGGGGGGGAGCCAAGTGGCCTCCTCCCCCGGGCCAGCCTGGCTGCCTACCCCTCTAGCTGGGCGTGGAATCAGAGCCCCACCGAGAGTTCCTGCTCCCTTGTGGAAGGAGACAGAGAGCTGGCCCTCTCCAGCCTCGCTGAGAGGCGCCTGCCCCCAAGCTTGAGGAACAATTGGCAGAGGTACTTCTGGAACCTCTCGCCCACAAAGACGTAGATGATGGGGTTGATGCAGCAGTGCGTGAACGAGATGATCTCGGTCACCTGGATGGCCACGTCCAGCTGTTTGCTCTGCTCACACTCATTGGTAAAAAGCACATCTTGGAAAGCAGAGACCAGGATAGCCAGGTTGTAGGGGGTCCAAAAGAGGAAGAAGAGGATCATGATGACGAAGATCAGTCGGACAGCTTTGCCCTTCTTTTCGTTTGGCCGCTTGAGCAGAATCTTGATGATGCCCGTGTAGCAAACCACCATGACCAGCAGAGGCAAAATCAGCCCCAGGACGTTCAGTTTCAGAGCCTGGAACTGTTTCCACATTTTGAGGCTCTCGTGCGGGAAATGTAGGGTGCAGGTGTAATGATTGACTTCGATCTGGGACTTGGAAAAATGCCAGCCTGGGATGGAGGCCAAGATGGCCAAGGCCCAGGTAACGATGCTGCTTACGATACCAAAAGTAATGGTCCGGGCCCGCAGGGCGAACACAGCGTGAACGATGGCCAGGTATCTGTCGAACGTCAACAGGATAATGAAAAAGATCTCGCTGTACAAGCCGATGTAGTAGAACCCCGAGAGTAATTTACACATGCCATTCCCAAAAGCCCAGTTATCCTTCAGTTTATAGTCAATCCAAAACGGCAGTGTGAAAAGGAAGAGCAGGTCCGAAAGGGCCAGGTTGAAGAGGTAGATACTGGTCATGCTCCGGAGCCTCTTATATTGCAGGAAGACCAGGATCACCAGGGAGTTGCCGACCAGGCCAACGATAAACACCAGGGAGTACAAAAGGGGAAGGAACCGGGCCCCCAAATCCCGCACCTCCTTCTTCTGGCATGGGGTTGAGTCCTCATAGCTGTACTCCGTGGTTACGTCGTAGTCCATTGAGGTGGTCGCTGTCTCCATCCTGGCTTCTCCTGTGGGTCAAGGGAAATAGTTCCTGTGTTTCATTTGACTGTTCAAGACAGGAGTTCTGGACCACAGAGACAAGGATGGATGGGGATCAAGGGAGACCTAAGTTCTTTCTGTTCTTGTGGAGCCCATAGACACAGACAGTCCTTTGATGTGAACGTCACTTTGAACATCTCAATATGCTGCTACCTGAAGGGATGTGACCCAAATACCAACCAGGTAAAGTACGTGCCACCTGCACCATAAATTCTCATCCAAAGCCTGGAGGCTATGGGGCACATCCTTCTGTACTACTTAATGGGTTATTCTTTCCTGCCTCCAGAATTCCCGTTCTGCTGTGGCCATTGGCAATGAAAGGCCTTGGAGAGTGGCCCGGCAACCTGACTGGGAGGAGAGAGATTCTGTTGGGGTGGGGCATGGGGGACTCTCACTTCCCCTGCCATCTCTCTCTGTGGCCCACTCCTTCCAGGCTTGCAGTTACTCGCGAGCCTTTTTGGCAATCTCTGATTTCCGCTGCCAGTGCTGATGAGGACAGACCGTTTGGTTGCACAGTCAACACGTTTGCAGGGCTGCCAGCAAGCCTGCCCCTCGGAGCTCGGTGTCTTGGGATTTTTCACTAAGGTGAAAGCCAAGTGAAGTTCACAGCCTTAGAAACTATTTTGAATCGCCTACCCAACCTCCAATCTCCAGCTCCATGAACTGTTTCCCCAACGTTCAGGTGTCATGCAAGAACCCCAGGATATTCTGATCCAAACAAAACAGAAACCGGCTCACTGCCATCACGTCGATTCCAACTGCCCCAGTGGTTTTCTGAGACTGGAACTCTTTATGCAAGTAGGAAGCCTCTTCTTTCCCCTGTGGAACAGTTGCTGGTTTAGAACTGCTGACCTTGTGGTTCTGTAGCCCAGCGCATAACTCATTGTGCCTTGGGAGCTTCCTATTCATTTTCAGAACCTTCAACTCCCTCTATGGAGCTCTGTTGGGAGAGTGGGTTAAGTGTTGGGCTGCTAATCAGATGGTTGGTGGTTCAAACCTATCGACTGCTCTTCAGGAGAAAGATGAGGCTGCCTGCTCCCATGAAGAGCTACAGCCTCGCCTGCTCACAGGGGCAGTTGGGTCCCATGAGTTGGAATCAACTTGATGGCAGTGAGTTCCGTTTTATGGAGGAAGAGTTGACGTCGGCTCCTTCTACCGACTCAGCATAATCCCTGGCAACCTGATTTAGAACTACATTCTGACTCGGCTTTTTGTTACTAGAACAAAATAAACACATCCCGAGAGGCCATTGGGCCAGCTCCCTGCCTTTAAAGGAATGAAATCTTATATCCCCCCAAAGGTCCCCAGCACTCTTGGTTCTGAGAAGACTTGGTTCTACTTTCCTTAAGTATCAACTCAATATCAAAACATTCTTGTATCTGCAAAGTTCTTCCTAATGAATATTTTCCCCGCATGATGAATCCTCTCTACAGAATGTCTGCTTTTCTTTTCCACATGGAAATCAAGCAATTACCTCTCAAATTGTTTTGCACAGAAAACATCTCTAGCTCACTAATGCTAGTCAGACTTTCTGTCGTCTGTCACCCAGAACCAAGTCTCTAAGAAAGCTGACTTTTTAGCAAGAAACGATTTCATATCTGAGCCCCCCCATTCTTGGCATTGCTCAACAAAAATGATTCCTTTACAGATGAATCCATGAGTTTCTTAGATACTTACCTGTCTCTCAAAGAATTAACCCTCTCCAGGGACTCAGCCGGATCCTACAGTGTGAGAGCCCGTCCCACCAGCTGCATCTTTAAACCAGAACACCCTCAACAGTAACCGACAAGACACAAGCCCAGCGGATGCCACTCACCTCCGGTTCCAAGGGATGTATCCATGAAGTCTTTGTTTCTGGGGATTCAAGGCGTTTATGACTTCTAGGCTCCAGGTCCTGACTGAGTAGGAAGTACTCGGCTTCCTGTGCGATGATGATCCAGAACTCTGAGCAGTCAGTCTCTCAGAGCTAAGAATGAAGCAAAGCGCTTCTGTTCCGATGTTGTGGCCAAAACGCCCACCAGTGGCCAGTTCCTGGAGGCCAAGTTTACTGCAAGGATTTTCTTTGCCTGCTTCACAGTTTTGCCAGCCCTGATGCTGGGAGCGTCGCCTCAAGGGGATTAAATAGGGCGGGGTTGGGTGGAGCTGGGTGGAGCTGGGTGGAGCTGGGCGGGATGAGGTGTTCCCAGAATATGTGGGGCAATCAAAGGCTGGGATGTGATAGGCAGGGCACAGAGATCTTGTGGTCAGTAGGTACTATCCCACACACCACACACACACACACACACACACACACACACACACACACACGTTTTGTTTTTTTTTAAACGTGGAAAGATTTAAACAGGAACTGCCTTCTGTTCCTCAAAGTAGGTCTGGCTGCTGTGAAATCAGAGAAGCAGCCCTTCCCTTGGGCACCCTCTACCGCTTCCATCGCTGCCTGCTCACGGCCCTTCCTCTCTCGTTCTCCGCGACCGCACCGCGAAAACCACACAGAGGGGTTTCACCTCAAGGAACCTCTAGGGATCCTTCTATTTAGATCTTCCTTTTCTGCCTCGTCCTTATACAATGGCTAGTACACTTAGGAAATTTAAAAACTCCCAAACCAAACCCATTCGGATTCCCAGCGACCCTCTAGGAGCGAATACAACTGACTGACATCATGGTTTCGGAGGCTGTTAACTCTTGGTGGGAGCAGAAAGCCTCCTCTTTCTCCTCAGGGGTGGCTGGGGGTCTCGGACGGCTGACCTTGGTGGAGTCTGTGTTTGTTTTCTCCAGTAGCCCTGAGTGGGTGCGTGTGGAGTGAGTTATACATGGCTCCGCTCACCACAAGGTCAGCAATTCAAAACTGCCAGCTGCTCTGCCCAAGAAAAACGAGGCTTTGGATGCCCATAAACAGTTACAGTCTCAGAAGAAATCCACACAGGGGCAAATTCTACCCTGTCCTCTGGGGTCCCTGTGAGTCTGTCTCAACTGGATAAAAGTGAGTTTGCTTTGGTTTTTCATTTTGGGAACCGCTTAGTCCAGGTTCAAATTTCAGCATCTCACTTCTGACAGTAGCTAATCCTTCCACCTTCCTAAGACCTGCATCTTGTTCTGTCAGCTGAGAATCCGAACTACTTCACACTTGTGGGAGGATGTGTGTTATCGGGCGGCTCACGGCTGAGTGCCTGCCTCAGGAAAGTTACGCGAACTTGCGTTGGGTCCATTATGGATTGGATTGTGTTTTGTTAAAAGAAAAGATAAAAGTGCCACAAACTTCCGAGCCCGAGGTCCTGCTCCCATTGGGGAACCTATTTTATGCTTTGCTCATAAGACCGCATTCTGGAGGGCAGGGCTTGAGTAGTGAGTTCTTGGCAGGGAGTAGATAAGGCAAGCAGAGACGGGGATGAGAGGCGCCAGGCCACATGAAGATCTCTCAGGAACCCCAAAGCGAGGAGGGCCCGCCAGAGCCAACACTCAGAGAGCCTTTCCCCAGAGCCGCACCTAAATTCAGACTTGTCCTCTCCCAAGCCCTCAGAAAACAAATGTCTCTGCATAAAAGCCACCCAAAGGCGCCCTGGTGACAGAGTGGGCTATATGCATTGGGATGCGAATCACAAGGCCAGCGGTTCAAACCTGCCAGTTGCTCCCGGGGAGAAAGATGAGGCTTTCTGCCTCCATAAAGATTACAGCCTCCCGGATGACAGTGGAAGCCCCCAATCCATTTTCATGCTGCACACATGGATTAAGATTCCAGCGAGTCCCCTCTGAGCATAGTCCAGGGATGTGACTGTCTCTACTATCAGACAGAGCATGGCAAGGTGGGTCATGGCAGACGTAGCCAGGTTGCAACGTAGCCCATTAGCATCCCATCTTCCTTTTTACCCATTTTAAAGTTGTTTCAGCTTTTTAACATTTTCAACTTCCCTTTCTATTGAGCTTTTTCTCTGTTTTGGTTTGCCATTGTTGTTGGTTTTTGTTTGCTGCTTGTGTATGCTTTGTCTGGTTTTCTGTATCTGAAACCCAGGATAGGTAAACCTAAGAGACAGTAACGGGATTAACAATTACCTAGGGGCCTGTCAGGGGAGGTTGGGGGAAAATGGGGAGCTAGCAGCCGTGAGTGTCAGAAAGAGGAAAATGTTCTGAAATTGATTGTGGTGATGACAGGACAGAGCTATTGCACTGTATGATGTGTGAATTATATGCCAGTAAATACATTAAATTTAAAAAAATAACAAAAATGACTTACAGCCTCAGAATCCCACAGGGGCAGTTCTACTCTGCTGTAGGTTATCAATGAATCAGAATTGATTCAATAGCAGTGAAAACCTCCCATTTGTGGTATTTCTGTTATAGCAGGATCCAATAACTAAGACAGGGCCCACCCCAGGTGTGGTAGTTCTATAATCTGGTGTCAACTTGCGAAGGGGTGGAGTCTAGCCTGTCAATCAGGTCCCAGCTTGATGACCTCATTAGGAGGCGCAATGAAGATAAATAGCTCACTGGAGGCCAGATACAGACACATTTGCCACCCGTGAGACCTTCCTTATGACAAGCCTGATGGAGCTACATTGATGCAGCCAGAGCCCTGGAGCTGGAGGAGCCACAAGGAGACCCACGCCAGCGCTGAGATGCTTCTACCACCACTGGATCCACAAGACTTTCCACCCACTGGCCTGTGATCTTCCTATAATCGGTGTCATTGCATGTGTTTCGTGAGTCTGAAGAGGAATTTATAGACTGATATCAGACATATGGGCTAATATCGGACTTAGGGACTTGATCTGGACTGGGCTGGGATGTTTTCTCAATATTCAACTCTCTTTACTAGAGGGTTTGTTAAAAGAAAGAGGGCAGGGCCCCACCTCCCTCCAGAGGTCTGGGAAGAGGGTCTGAGAATTTGAATTTTTTAGTAAGCATAAGAGCCACTGGTCTAAAAGAATTTCTTTAGACATAATTTTGTTTTCTTTTTTAAAGTACTAAACTATAACGTGAAAAGCGAGTCCTCCTAAGTCCTTGATTTCTCTTGTTGCCCTTCCCTTCAGGAGCAACAGGGCCCAGTTTCTTATATGATTACATATACATACATACACAGGTACATACTCTTGCACATATGATCTGCCTCTTACACACACACACATCCACACACACATCCCTTCCTTGACACAGGTGGGTGCGACATACAAGATGTTTTGTATCTTGCTTTGCCACTGCACAGGGGAGCCTAGTCTCTATCAACAATTGGAATGGGCACTGGACACTGGCCTCAGCCCTCCTGCTGTGGTGGGGACAGATAGAAGCATGGGTGGAGGTTCACTTGAAGATTTTAATCATGGGTGTGGTAATTACATCATTTTATGTCCACTTGATCTATGGAAGTGTAGGGGTGGAGTCGAGCCTGTCAATCAGGTCACAGCCTGATGGTACCTCCTTGTGGACATGGCCCTCTCATAAGGAGGGCCCTGGGAACCTCTCTCCCTCTCTGCCTTCACCTTCCTGCTGGTGAGCCACCCTGGGACCTGCCAGAGCCCCAGAGATGCATCCACTGCCATTGGATCCACAAGACTTTGTACCCTCCGGCCTGTATTCTGCATCATTGCATGTGGCTGTGTGATCTGAAGAGGGTCTTACGGACTAGTCTCAGACTTAGGACTAGTGTCGGACTTAGGGACTTGGGGCGGACTGGGCTGGGATGTCTCCTCGGGACACATGACTTCCTGATCTCAAGCTCTTTCTTACACATACATGAGTGTCACCCCGTTTGTTTCTCTGGGTTGCCAGCCCAACACTGCGAGTTTGCCTAACTTTACAATTTATATTTTCTCCTCCGAATAGCTGCTCATTGGCAGTGGACTGGACAGGGCGATGGAGACAGCATACACAGACAATACCACATACCAATGTCACAAGGGCAGCAGAAAGGGACAGGAAAGAGTGTCCTTGCGCTCTACGGCCACCTCCCATCAAAGGGTGGGCCTGGGAGGGGGCAGGGCCTGGAGTGTTCAAGGGGCCTCCCCTTAGTCCGCAGGGTTAGCGAGGAAGAGACAGGTGGCTGCAGCCACAGCCTGACCACTTGGGGCGTACTTTTCCCGGTAGATGCGGCTGGTGGGCAGGGCTCGCTAGACATCCTCTTCTTGGGCTGCCTTCCTGTTCTCCTTCCCACCCCAGGCCTTGCGGGCAGCGGCCTGCAGCGCTCGCCCATCTGAGACAGTCAGGGCCCACGGCTTCAGCAGGGGGCACTTGTTGATGGCTGTGGGGTTGACGGACACTTCCTTCTTACTCTGGTCTCCAGACAGGAAGGTGGCTGCCATCATGGCAGGGGGCACTGTGCAATGATCTGACCCTGGGAAAACTTCTGTGCACACACGTGGCCTGATGCTACCGTATTGAGCTTCAGCAAAGTGCTTTCCCGGTAGATGTAGTGGTCACTCTCAGAACACATACTGTGTTCGTCGGGGTAGACTAGAGACCCAAATTCATAGACACGCATATGTGTGAAGAGAGAACTTTATATCACAGAGTAATTGTACATTAAGAAAACATCCCATCCCAGTCCAGATCAAGTCCTTAAGTCCGATATTAGCCCATATGTCCGATACTAGCCCATGAATTCTTCTACAAACGCATGCAGCACATGCAATGATGTCAAAAGCAGGAAGATCACAGGCCAGTGGGTGGAAAGTCTTGTGGAAGCATCTCAGTGCTGGCGTGGGTCTCCATGTAGCTCCTCCAGCTCCAGGGCTCTGACTCCACCAGTGTGTCTCCATGTGGCTTGTCAACAAGAACGTCTCTCAGAGACAGTGTGTGTCTGGCCTCCAGTGAGCTATTTATCTTCATAGTGCCCCAAATGAGGTCATCAAGCTGCGACCTGGTGGACAGAGTAGACCCCACCCCTTCACTCTTAATAGTATCAAGTTGACACCAGGTTATG